AAGAGTGTCTTGACCAAAAGGATGAAGAGCAAGCCAGACTCACCTCTGGCTCTTCTCAGACCTTACTTCTGAAAAGCAGGGAGTGGGAAAGAGAAATGTAAATGCTGATCATTATTGCTTTTCAAAAAGGTGAAATTTAAAATGAATCTTGCAGTCATTATTGTCCAAAGACTGAGATATCACAACGATATTGTCCAAAAAAATTACTCAACTATTACCCAGTAACATAGTAGTTTCATTTTTTTATATATCCAAATTAATAAAGAAGACAATTTCTTTCTCCCTGTCTTTTTACATATAGACTCCAGTAGCCCAAGAAACCCCAAGAAAAAACCCACCCTGCTAGCCACTCACTTCATTGCTATTCTTCCTCCAGGCAGCTCTATATTATAAAATTCAATGAAAATCCCTTTACTTTGACAGTACCCTGGTAAAAATGTATAAAATTGTCAATGCTTTGTGAGAATTATTCTCCCTTTGCAAGAGGCACACATTAACAAATTATACTCAAGTATAACCATCTATAATCAAATTCCCTTGACAGAGTACAGGTTGTGCAGTAGCTGCTCTCCCCCCAGTTGCACGGTTATCAGTCTTGTAAATTCGATTTAGATCCCTTGGCTTCATTTTTCAGTGTTCAACTGGCATGAACAAGGAGCAATTTCTGACTGTAGGGTTTTAAGCAAAGATTTTTTTGCAAAAACTCTACAGGAATTCTTTTTTCATTGAGGATAAAGACTGTTTACACCAACCACCTTCTTTCTAACCACCACATGAAAGGGAGGCTTGCTTTCCAAAAGTCACTTTAACTTGACACATCAATCATATGGATTCTTTTCATTTTAAAAAAGGTTAACTAGACTATGCAGCACCCGAGTTGCTTTACATGTAGCAGAAAAACTAATCAAGCATCTCATTTTACTGCTTTTTAATAGCTCTGCATAAATAATCAGATGTACCTCACGACCTGTAAAAACAACTTGTGAATTTTTAAGTATTTCTGAGTATCTTCATCATCTTCTGAAAAGTATCTGCTTTTAAAAAGCATGTTATTTGAAAGCATTGGGAAGTATTCAGCCACAATTTGAAACAGAACTATTTTAAAGAGACTGTTTTTGGTCACATCAAGGCAGTAATATGCATCATGGGAGTAAATGCAATCAGTTCACGTGCTCAAAATAAGGCTGTATGCAAAGATTTACAATATCAGGGTCTTTAAACAGAATAAAAGTTGTATTTTGTGTTAGGGCATGATTATTATTAAACATAATAAGACAAAAGACTATCAGTCTCCTAATTTGGAAGTCTGTTCTTGTCCTAGAGCCAAGACAACTATAATCTATTGAAAAAGAATAAAAGAGGACAACCTCTGTGACTGCAATATTAGAAAATTAAAATCCACAGCTCTGTGGTATTAAAATGAGCTTTCAAGTTAACACTCTTGTATGGAAGCAATTACAATCTGTGCATACATGTGTCGTGGACAAAACGTTGAGAACTAAACATGCAAATTCATTTAAAGTGCACTAGAGAGCTACACCACTCAGTCAGATCTCATGAGATTAATTATTCATAGTGTCTATAAAACACATTTCTAACCTCATGTACCTTACTAATCTTCAACTACCTAGAACCTGAGACAACAAAACCCCTTTTTCAGCTACTCATGATGGTTTGCACTCTTTGACAATCTACTTTTGCTTTCTCTTAAGCAAATAACATCAGAACTACTTGACCCAACCATAAAATGATATAATGGGCTGTATTATTAACATCATTTTTTCAGGAATATATTCATGTACAACATAGAATATCAATACAGAACTTTCATTACTTGCTTTCATCCTGAGGCAGTTGTATTGAGTTTCTTGTCTGGACTTTTGCACTTTGAAAATAGCCAATTCACTTCCAGGTAACATCCACATTCATACAAACCAAGGAAAAAAAAGTGTATTTCTTCCCCTAAATTTGCTGGAATGGTATTAGTCCTTCTTGAATGTTATTCTCATCCACATGCATACAAACCAAGGGAACAAAAAAAAGTGTATTTCTTCCCCTAAATTTGCTGGAATGGTATTAGTCCTTCTTGAATGTTATTCTCAATGCCTGAGCATCAACTTGAAGGTGAAGGCTCCTCAGCACTTCACAAGACTTGTTTTAGAGAGAAAACCTGGAAAAAATGTCACTAAAAAAGGCAAAACAAACCCCACACAATAAAACTACTTTATAAACAAGCCATTTATTCAGACTGGTTAATTCTCTATCTGTAAGGTGATCTCTTAGCTCCACTAACAGAGTGCACATGCTCATATTGCAGCTCATGGCTTCTTGGAGTGGCATGTGAAACGCCCCTGAGACAGCCTTTAAATCTACAAATAGAGATAACTTTCAAGGCAAGTGGATTTTTTGACAACGTGGTGGAGTGTTACAATCACAAAGAACTGAGCTACATCCTATCTTGCCTTTTCTCTCCCTAGCAGCACTTTTACAGTGGGTCTGATTTTAGAACTTCCCCAGAGCAGCTTAAAAACATTATTCCACGTTTGATTTTTTTGATACTTGGTGGTGTACAGCAGCCAGGAAGATGTCTTGTTCTCACCTGCAATCTGAGAAAATTAACTACAGAAATTGCTAATGCAAAAAGGAGACTGAATATAATGAGGTTATTTCAGACAATGGCATTTTCCTGCCTGTATTATAATTCAATTTGTCATATCCTTCAGAGATACTTCAATACAACGTTGTTTCTAATAGGTTCTTCAAGGTTTTTTATTTTTCCTAATCCCCTTTTCTTTCCTACTTTTATATTCTTGCACAGCAGTCTACCCCATACTCAAGACCATCCAGAAAAACCTCAAAGTGCTGCTCACTTTGAGCCTTTCTGGAGTGACCAACCTGTAACCCTTCAAAAGAAAGGCCTGACCAAAAAGTCTCAACTGAGATAAAATATAATTCAATCTATTTATCAACTTGAGGTGTTTCATGATGTGACTCATCACAGCTTCACTTTCCACGCTGCACCGTTTGTTTAATGATTTGTCTGTTCAGTTAGGAAAACAATAATTAAAAGGAAAAAATGATTTGCAAGGTTTAATTCATACTGTTCACTTCTATCATTAACTGAAAGCAGTTTCAGAGTGAGCAGCAGCAGGCATTAGGTAAAACCTAGTACAAGGATATGACTTTATAAGATGCTAAGTGAATATTCTCCTGC